AGCCCACTCCAGTCTCAGTTTCTCCCCCTGAGAAATGGGTTCAGGACCAGGGACCCCCGGCCCGCGCCCCGGGGTCTGCGCTCAGGCCACCTTCCTACCTACTGGGAAACCGAAGCCAGGGTGGGCGGAGACCCCACCGAGTAACTGTGCTCTAGGCCAAGTCCGCGGGCTTGGTGTCGGGGACTCGCCGTGCCGCACAGTCTAATGAGACAAGTAGGAGCCAGTTATGTTGCCCTGAGGGCGATCGGGTTAGGGGAGCGCGGTGTCCCCCTTCACAGATGGGTGTACGGAAGGCGGAGGGTGCCAGGCAGTTGCTGCGAGAGTCAGCCAGCTGGGGAGTGGCGGGCTCAGGAATGGGGTTGGGAAGACCCTGCCAAGCTTCCCTGAGCCTGTTTCCTCTGTGTAAACAGACGAGACATCCCACCCCTGTTGCCAGAGCAGGGGAACTGGTCCGCTGGAATCTCGCACGTGACTGCCCAGTAAATGTCAGGGTATATGGTCACTGGAGTTTCCCTCCTGGAGGACAGAGCTTGCCTCTAAAGGAAACAGGCAACCACACTTGAAAGGGGGTGTCGCAGGTGTCTGGTGCACCTGCCTATCAACTACCACAAGCTGTGCAGGCCCATGGCTGGGAGGGCCATAGTTGAGTCCCAGGAGGAGGGGAAGGGGAACACCTCTGGGCAGGGATGAGCTGGGACAGGCCTGCTGGGTCTTTATGGGCTGGTCATATTTAGGAAGGCCATGGCCCAAAAGGTTCCTATGATGAGGCAGACAGGAAGGTGAGGAGAAAAGTGAACTTTTTTCTGGGGCATTAGGCAGGGAGGTGATGTCCAGACAGAGCATTCCTGCCAATTCCTAGGCTTCCTCTCAGTAGCCAATGTAACTGGCCCCTGGCTCTCTGGGGGGGTGGACACGTGGCCTCTTTACACTGAGAAAGGTAAAGGTCAGAGTTGGCGGTGTCTGCTGACAGGTTAGCATGCAGGCCCAGTTGGAACCAGCCTTCATTGACTGTGACCTGCAGAGTGACCCTCAGTGCCAGCAGGGCAAACATGTGCCCAGTACATGAGCAGCCCACCCCTCTTCTTCAGGAGCCTCTGCTCACTCAGGCCTGGTTTGGGGTCTCTTCCTGGTATAGGAATGCATCAAGCCCATGAAGGTAGAAAAGAGGCTGGGAAGTGGCGTGGCCAAGATCCACATTGAAGATGACGGGAGTTACTTCCAAGTCAGTCAGGTAGGTTCTAGCTCAGATGATCTGAAACTCATTTCACCATTCCACCCAGTCACCAGTGCAGTGACCATGAGACCTTTCACATCTGCCAGTCCTTTTTCATGGTTCAAATTCACTGACTGTCAGGCAGCCTGAAAGAACAGGCATGGGAGGGGCCAGGGACAGAGAAGCTGAACATAAGCTTGATTTGTTCTGCAGAGGAGGCTCTTTTTGCAGAGATGGTAGTTCCTGTCTTCTCCTCTCTCCATCTCTGTTTCTGTCTCTGAGTTCTAATTCCATAAGATTTTCCTAATTTAGATTCCTTGTTCTTAGTAAATACCTACTTCCTGTATAATTACCCTGACAAAATCCTGATCTAATGGTGTTAAAATTCACCCCACCACCCTGTCCGGTGTTGCTCAGCAATTAGAGCATCAGCCTGCACACTGAAGGGTTGCGGGTTTAATTCCTGGTCAAGAGCACATACCTGGGTCACAGGTTGGATCCCTGGCCCCAGTCCTGGTGCATGAGGGAGGCAACCAATCGATGTGTCTCCCTCACATCGATGTTTCTTTCTCTCTCTCAATCTCTCTCCCTCCCTTCCTTCCTTCCTCCTTCCTTCCTTCCTTCCTTCCTTCCTTCCTTCCTCCCTCCCTCCCTCCCTCCCTCCTTCC